TTCCTCTGGCAATTTTACTGTATCATTTTCTTACATCCATATGGATCATAACCTCATCTGTGATGTTTTTTTTGTTGTTTATCTACTTGTACATGTTCTGATTACCTCTCATACTATGTTTGTTAAATATATGTAAAATAATAAAGACATATTTGCCTTTAAAAAGGGGTCAAAATCTTTACCAAGTAATTATAGACCTGTTAGTTTAACTTCTATAGTTGGGAAGATACTGGAGAGTTTAATAAAAGACCACATAGATGAGTTCTTGCTGGAAGAAAATATTTTAAGCAACAGAGAGCATGGATTCATGAAAGACAGAAGTTGTCAAACAAATCTGATTTCTTTTTATGAGGAGGTGAGCAAAACCTTGGACAGAGGGGTGGCGGTGGACGTGGTATACTTGGATTTTGCAAAAGCGTTTGACACAGTTCCCCACACATGGCTAATGTGTAAGGTAAGGTCTGCAGGCTTGGAAAAATCTGTATGTAAATGGATAGAAAACTGGCTAAAAGATCGTATTCAGAGAGTAGTGGTTAATGATTCATACTCTGAATGGTCTAGGGTTGTCAGTGGTGTACCCCAAGGTTCAGTATTGGGACCCTTACTTTTTAATATATTTATAAATGATATAGGTTCTGGGATTAAATATACCATTTCAATCTTTGCAGATGACACCAAGCTGTGCAGTGGAATAACGTCCTTATAGGATGTCTCCAATTTACAAGCTGACCTCAATGCACTGTTTAACTGGGCAACTATATGGCAAAGGAGGTTTGTGGATTGCTTTAAAAAAAGGCCTGGATTCTTTCTTGGATACACAGAATTTAACTGGATACTAACATTTATAGGTAAAGGTGATCTTCTCCCCTGCAGGAGCAAATTGGATTATGCTTTGTTTGGGGGGGGGGGGGTTGTCTTCCTCTGGATCAACTGTGGGTGTAGAATTATAACTTTTTTTTTTTAATGGTTGAACTGTACGGACTTTTGTCTTTTTTTCAGCCAGACTATGTAAATATTTTTATTTTGTTGACCATTAACATTTAAACATTATTGAGAAACACCCCGCTTTATTCCATTTGTAAATAACTTTGCAATACTTTGTACCAGATAATAATGTTTGTGTCATTTTAAACACTTTTTATCTGCAGTAAGTAGTAAACAGCTAAAAAAAAAAAGTAGGTCCCCTGCAGGTTTATCCCATAATGTACAGTATACTAGCACAATATGACAGACTTACCTACAGACAGAAGCCCTACAGGTAAGCCTGATTGTAAGCTTACCTGTAGGTACAAGTTCAATCTTGTATCTTGCAATCCCTGATTTCGACTTTGACAATAAATGAGGGGAAACCTCTAAAAGGCTCATTCAAACTTCAAACAACTATAGCTGACAATATTTAACACCCTGTAGCAATCCAACACCTACATACCTCCTTGGGGACAATGACATCTTTGCCTAGTCTGGCCAACTTGATTTGCTAGCCCGGAATGACATAAACCTCATGCATGTGCACAGGAGTTAATGAGTTAATTTATTCCGACACTGAGTCATACTGAGAATGTACACTAAGCTTCTCATGTGCAGCTCAGTATTCATTCCAAAGAAAGACAGAATATGGGTAATAATGTGTTATTGCAGAAGAAACATATTCTCCTGCAATGACTTATGTCTCTTCTGCAATGAAAAGCCTGATTGCTTGCACATGGTTTTTGTGGTGGTAAAATTCTACTTGAAGTGTTCTATTGTGGTGTGTTAATGCACCACTCGGCACATGTTAAACTTCAGTGCATTAGGACAGAACATGTTAACGTGAATTATTTTAAGGCAGCCCATTCATAAAATTCTGCATATGACATCTTTTTTAGCAACTCAGCACACCACAGTGTACTGTATGTACTGTCTACTGCACAGTGTCTTGGAGGGCCACTGACAATTCAATACACATAGAGCTTTAGGGCAGTGCACAAGTGCGGTTCTTAACCTGTTCCTGCTGGATGTATGCATATATGTAGCCTTTCACTGGGTGGGCTTTAATGCCGCTCCCAGCACAATTACCAGCGGGAACGGGAAGCTCCTGATGCATGCTTACAGTCAGGAGCTTTCCAATCATGTGAATACTGTGACAGCCAATCACATCAATCATATGACCCATATGCCTGCCTCTACCTCCCAGCATTTAGAACCTCTATACAAAACAAGAAAAAGGTTTGAATAGACATATACATTAAATCTTTTGGTGACTAACCTGGAACCAGCAAGCAGACCAATTTTAGACTCATGGAACACTGACAACTCTGGGGCTGGGAAAGGTTCCCTAACAAGTCCAGAGAAGATACACACCTGTTTCTATACAGCTACACAGGGAAACAGATTGTAGATGTCATCCCTGCCTTGCCAATCCCCAACTGGCAGAGCTGCATAGCATAGTGGTGGCATGCTATAGCCAATTCTAGCTGGCAAAGGCATGACTTGCCCCACAGGATGCAATTTGCTTACATGTGGCTGCAGAGCGGGGACTGCCTCTGGCCTATGGATAGCTTGACAGGTTTGCGCTTTTTTGTGTGAACACAACTCAACTCATCCCAGGAGTGTATCGTGCCTATCCCCACTGGCCCTCCTCTTCAATCCATCCAGGAACTTGTGGATGACATCATGTGGAATGGACAAGAGAGGAGGGCTGGCTGGGACCAGCACTAGAACAGTGAACACAAAGCAATGGGCTGCTCTGAATCCACATCTGTGCGCTCCTGAGCCCCCAGTGGTGTGCCTTCCTGATCCCCCCCAGTGGAGTTCCCTCCTGATCCCCCCCCCCCAGAGTATAGCCACCTGATCCCCCCCCAGTGGTGTACCCACTTGATGCCCCCCCCACTGGTGTACCCTCCTGACCCCCTCCAGTAGTGTGCCTTTCTGAACCCCTGTACCATGCCCCCCTGCCCCCCCCCCCATATTGTGCCCTTCTGACTCCCACAGTGGTGTGCCCTTCTGAACCCCCCCCCCCCCCCCCAGTGGTGTGTCCTCCTGAGCCCCCAGTGCCCTGCCCTCCTAACCCCCCTGTACATTGCCCTGCTGACCCCCTGTCCTGCTCACCCCTCTTCACTGTCCTACTTTTCCCTGTACACTGCTCCTCATACTATTAACCTCTGTACATTGCCCTGCTTACTACTGACCCCTGTACACCGCCCTACACACTACAGACCTCTGTATACCTACTTCTGACCTCTGTACACTGCCATACACACTACTGACCCCTGTACACTGCCATACACACTACTGACCCCTGTACACTGCTCTACACACTACTGACCTCTGTACACTTCCCTACCTACTACTGACCTCTGTACACTGCCCTGCACACTACTGACCTCTGTACACTGCCCTACCTACTACTGACCTCTGTACACTGCCCTACCTACTACTGACCTCTGTACACTGCCCTGCACACTACTGACCTCTGTACAGTGCTCTGCACACTACTGATCCCTGTACACTGCCCTGCACACTACTGACCTCTGTACACTGCCCTGCATACTACTGACCTCTGTACAGTGCTCTGCACACTACTGATCTCTGTACAGTGCTCTACCTACTACTGACCTCTGTACACTGCCCTGCACACTACTGACCTCTGTACACTGCTCTACATACTACTTACACTAGCCAGAACTCAGAGCAGAAAGCAGGGATAGCAAGGCCTGAAACTAGTCCAGCATGTCAGCCTGCAGTTCCAGTGGTTCTGCCTTCATGATGGACTCATGTATCAGACTTGTGGGGGTCACTGAAGCTAACTTTTAAGGTATACAATGACATTGATTTTATAAGTTTTCTCTGTGATGTCCTTGTCCTTTCTTTTTATTGGGGGCTTAACTGCTTAAAAAAAAGGGGGCCGCTGAACCCAGGTGAACGTTAATCTCTACCATGTTGTCCAGATCTCTACCTCTCAAAGGTTACCTACCCCTGTTGTATAGTAATCCTAGTAATCCTGTTGTATAGTAATCCTGACACAGGTGGTTCAGTGACTTGAAATATATCGAAGCCAGAGGTAACCATGACAGCCAGGACACTAGAATTTCCAGTAGGTTAGGGGTTCTTGTTGATGGGCAATCTAGCCAAATGCTGCATTTTTCATTTAACTAGAAAAGGCTGCATTTGCCCTGCTTTGCCAGCAGCTCAAAAGCTCCTTTATAAGACAAGCTGCTTCCAAAGAAACAGTGCAACGCAAAGTAGATCAAATTCAGTTTTTGACCTCTCATGTGTGCAGTTCAATTAAAGTGAATAGGATTTTTTACTGACCTGAATTTGATGTACGTTCCAAATGCATGTCAAACACAGGAATACAATGTCCTTATCTGCTTAAAAGAGAAGTCAATCTCTCTGACCATGTTTCATTTGTAACACATGTTACCCTTATCGAATCTATGGGTTCTTCTCAACGCCAACACCTGTCATTATTTGAATTCAGCACAGCTTTGCCCACACAGCCATGCCATTTATTCACAGGAGTCTGTCAATGGAAAAAAACAGAAGGCCCATCTGCCACAGAGGCAGAGCAGTCATAGTTTTCATGAGAGCACAAGTGTGGTGACATCACCGCACTGATAGTCTATTGATACGTTCTTCATGCCTGTAACTGGAGGAATAGTCTGCAAGAGCCTATTGTGTTTCTTGTTAAATAACCTCTAAGTGGAATCTTGGGAGGCTGTGGTCTCTCAGCAGCCAGCTAATGCTTCCTCAGAACACTTCCCAAGCCTCAGTGCTGCAAAGTAAAGATGCCTGAAGGCATTTGATTCATAGGAGACATAATATATACAATATGAACCCAAAGCAAACACTTTAGCTTTTCCACATGACACTTGCACTCCTTTTCCTGTGTAAAGGTTACTGTTTCACTTTTATCAGCAATGCCCCTCCTGCTCTGTCACCCAGCAGCAGTAATAATGCGGCCGCCCCCTCCCTGTTCAGCTCACACGCAGGCTGCACACATTACAGACTGCACTCTGACAATGGCCGTGCATATTGTATTCTTCCAGATATGTGTAGCTCTCATTGCACTACCGATACACATCCTTGCTTTCCTGGGCCTGTGGGATCCCATGGTCAAGAAAGTATTTCCTTACCTTCTACAAAAAGTGACCAAGAAAGTCAACAAATACATGGGAGAGCACAAGAAGGAGCTCTTCAGGAATTTGAATGATTTCAGAGGCCCTTCTGGGGAGATCAGAGTCCTGGAGCTGGGCTGCGGCACCGGAGCAAACTTTCAGTTCTATCCTGAAGGATGTAAAGTCACCTGTGTAGATCCTAACCCTAACTTCAAGAAGTTTCTGAGCAACAGCCTAGCAGAGAATCAGCATGTCCAATTCCAGGCCTTTGTGGTGGCTCCAGGGGGGAGAACATGGTCCAGAGATACAGAGTGGATCCATGGATGTTGTGGTCTGCACATTGGTGCTGTGCTCTGTAAACAATATTGAAGGGATTCTGGAGGAAGCTCATCGTGTGCTGAGACCTGTAAGTGTGTAAGAGTATTTCTGGTGGCTCACATGTACTTTAGATGTTAATTCATTACTATAGGGTATATGAGTGGCATGTAAACAATCACATTCAGATGTAGTAGGAAACAATCCTTAATTCCCAGTATCTTAAGGGTTCTTAATGGTGTGCTTTCTTCTACTCTAGGTTTCTATTTCTGTTTGTGACCCCATTGGAGGCATGTTCCCTCTCTTACTGTTTATTTGACAACCATTCAAATTGAGGTGTAAACTGACAGGAAGGTACAGACAGCAAAAAACTGTCAGGAGTCCTAATCATTCCTTGCTCTTTTAATCATGTGTTTTTGTGTGTGACCTTCCCCGCATTGGCTCTTTAATGGATATTATCATAAGGGATACTCAGCCAAATGTAGCACTGTAAAGTGTACTATGGCACTACTAGTGTAGAAGGAAGCCAGCACATCAGATTTCAGTTCAAATAACTTAGTGTAGTTCTATGCAAAAACCAACACTATCTATCAAGATGTTCCTTGAAAGCTTGGTTTTGCATGGAACTCCAGAAAATGCTCTGGAATGTAAATCTAGTGTCTGTGATCCAGCTGGGGAGATTACATCTCACTTCCTGTTTATGTGACAGCCATTTAAAAAAATAGGGTGTCACCATGACAGCAATAAAAAACATTGTTAGAAAGCCTAACCCTTCCTTATTCTATTAAAAATCTATTATTGTCTTTGTCCCATCACTTGAGATTTCCCAACACTTCCTGTCCTGAAAAGATGTAAGGGGGAATATTCCTAAGCCTAGGTTCACACATATGTGGGTTGGGGAACGCATGCTAATTGCTTGCATTCCCCAACCCACAGGAGAAACCCGCTGCTATTTTATGTTCATTCTGAGTTTATTTAAGTGTTTATATAGGTTCCAAAAATAAAGGAAATGTCCAGCTAGGATGACCACAAAATGTAAACTACAGTAAAAGAGTACAAGCTTAGGTGAAGGAGGGAACAAATAAAAATGGAGTGCAATCACAATAGGACAAATAAATAGAAAAAAAAAATGACTCAGGGTTGGACGAAGACAGCGACCAGTACAGAGTACAACACCCATGACCATACAGAAAATGGTAGTTACAGAAATAAATAGGCCCATAAAGAGTACTTACATCATACATCAACAGAAAGGACAATGAAGTATTAGCTAAACTGGCTGAAGCCCAACAGGGTGAGTGAATGAAAATTAGGCCTGAGGAAAGATAGATGGGGCATACTGATATGGACAATCTTACCACCCTACCTGGTCCCAGTGTCCAAAAAGAGAAAGAAAGAGAAAAAAAAGGATTATATAAATAGATAAGGAGGGAGGGGGGGGGGGGGAAAGAGGGCACTACCTGAGTGGGACAGTCAAAAAAAAGACTCACCAGTAGGAATGGGAGGACAAACTCCCATTTAGTCAGCTAGGAGATCTCTCAAAGCAGAGGATTCTCTATACACATTCCAGGGTAGCTAGGTCCAATGACAACATTCATAAGTTCCCAATTCCTGAGCCAGGAGAGACTCCATACATTCAATGTGATCCATCTTCTCTACCCACTCCAAAAGTGTCAAAACATTTGACAATCTCCAGTGATGAAGGATGACCAGTTTGGCAGCGGTCAAACAATGATGTAGAAGCCGACATTTATTATGTTTGAAAGCGCTAGGTAGGACAGAAAGCAGAACAATCTATGGTGTATTTGGAACAGTCAAGTCTGTAACAGCAGTATAAATGCATAGGATTGAGGGCCCAAAAGGCATGGATGGGGGGACATTCCCACCAAACGTGAAGCAAGGAACGAGGAACAGCATGACAACACCAACACAAGGTGGAACTGGAGGGAAATATACTGTGAAGTAAGGTAGGGCATCAGTACCATCTGGTGAGCAATTTGAAATTGGTTTCCTGTGCCTTGCTGGCCAGAGATAAACAATGAGTAAGAACAAACGCTTTTGTTCAGTCTTTCTCAGACAGCTGATTATCAAGATCATCTGCCCATTTGGATGCACATGATGGAAGATGGAGATGAACTTTGGAAAGAAGGATCTGATAGACTGTGCAAAGGAGGAGAGTGCAGAAGAAAGAGATTCTAGCTGGTTGGGGTCTTTGGTCAGTGATTCTTTGTTGGGAAGAACATAAAAAAAGAACAAAGTTACCTATACTGCATCAACTGGGCAAAGGAAGATCGCCCCAAGGTATGGGAGGGCTGAAAAGATGGGAATCGTCCCACATGAAGGGCTGACACGTATGGAGATGTTAAACTTTTGAGTCAGGCTGTTCCACATACGCAATAAATGGCTAGTATAAAAAGTGATGGAACCAGTTTACCAAATGCCCATTGCTATTTTGCAGATATGTAGGGTTGCTATTAATTCTAATGGCACCCCCCCTCTCCCTGCATCAGAAAATGTGGGGTTTGTAATACCACGGTTCCAAGCGCCCAGCTGCAATGGATGTAGGCTTGCAGGGGTTTTGCTGATTATTAAGCCCACCCTCCAACCCACTGATACTCACCTTTCCAAAGTGACAGTGTCTCTTTAAAACAAACCTGTTGCTTTGCCCTAAATGGGTCACCAATCGGCTGCTTTTTAAAGGCTAAATTCATCTTCCCCCCCCCCCCCCAAAATGCACATTTTTGCAGGTAAAAAATATGTGTATTTATTATTTTTTTACACTTCAGCCTGTCAGGCATTGCACCCCTGAAGGACGCAGCCATGTGGGCAGTGCCCATGTGTACTCATGTACACAACAAAACTGGGTTGCAAGCAGTGTCAATTTGTTTGGATTTTGTATTTGATCATTTTGTTTTGAAGGCCAGTAATACTTATAGGTGCTGGAGGCTTTTATGTGTTCTCTTTTTCACATTCCATTACTAATTTGTACATGGGCTTTTGGAAATATCAGTTCACAAGGAGGAGTGTGGTTTAGCATGGCCCCCAAGCTAGGTTGGCACGCAAAGCTTATGTGGGTGAGCTCTGACCAGGACATAGAGAGGAAGGTATCGCATGACCCTATGCTAAGTTGGCATGTTAGTAATTTGGTAGCAATAACACATTTAGAATACAAATTGAATATTTTTTTCATTAATATTGATTATTTATAGTTGATGGTAATCTTAGTTTGGAAACCTTTTTGGTATAGTTAAATACAAATGATCAAATTTGTTATGGGAACACCCTTTTAAATGCCATGTCATATTACCCAAGGCATTTTTTTTTTTATGCTCACCTGCTCTGTGCAATGGTCTGAACCCAATAGGGAGGCTTTCAGGAAGGATGGCATGACCCTGCACTTTCCCTACTCCTTTGGAATCATTCCCAGACACTAAGTACTGTCCCTGACACCCAGTGACTTTTCCCTACTCTGACCACTCTCAAAATGCATGGCAAGCCTGGGAGCCAGGATCTTAAATACACTCTGCCTGACTCAAGATAGCCACCAAAGTCACATGAGGTGCCAGCATCCAATAGGATAGCTACCTCCCTGAGACCAAGGAAATCATAGAAGAAATTAGCTCCTCTTGACTTCCTCCCCCATCTGCATTGCCGCTGTGGACGAGTGCCAGCTGCAGTGCAGAAAATAGACTGTGCCTGCCTACATGGTTCCTATAGCACACATGATTGAGGCATAAGGGCACATTCATCTGCAGTAATAAAATATTTCAGTGCAATGCCCATGTTCAAGTCAAGTCACTAAATGTATCAGGTCTACTTCTTCGGGAGAAAAATAGGAAAACTGGCAATACATAAATTGCATTACAAGAAATATTGTGTAACCTATTATTTGTAAAGTGTTTGGAACCCATTATGTTGGCAAAATGTCTAAAAGTCTCAAAGATAGGACAGGGGACCATTTAGGAGATACAGTATGTCCAATTAACCCACCAATTTAGCAAACACTTTCATCAAAAGCATAATACAGATATTACAGTAGCTTGGTTTCAGTACTGGGTATAGAAAGAGGCACCCCCTCATAATTGAGGGGGAGGTGGTTTTTCTGAAACTCTGCATAAGAGAGATGTTTTCGATATTTAACCACTTGCCGACCAGCCACTGTAGAAATACGGTGGCAGGTCGGCACGGCTGGGCAAAAGCATGTTTTAAAATGTGCGTTTGCAAAACAGGTAGGGGCTGCGTACAAGGCGCACCGCCGCCCTATCTGCACCGCCGATCCTGGCCATGGGTGCCAGTCACCGGGTCACGGCCAGTCATTACCAGCCGTGTCCCACCGATTAGCGGTAATCACTGACAGAGAGCAGGGCTGCAGTAGCTCTGCTTTCTGTCAGTCCCCTGTCAGCTCCTGACACGCTGATCGGGAGAGAAGAGTTTATCTCTCCCGATCAGCATGTCCCCCGCAGTACACACCCCTACCCCCTAGTAAAACACTCTCCTCACACAGCTAACCCTTTCTGTGAATAAAAAAGTTAACCCTTTCCTCCCCAGTGCCATTAGTACAGTGTCAGTGGTTATTTTTGCAATACTGATCACAGTATTGGTGTTACTGGGGATGTCAGTGACCCCAAGTCAGTTCCCCCCCAGTGTCAGAATGTCCGCCGCAGTCTTGCCATAAGTCGCTGATCGCCGCCATAAGTCACTGATCGCCGCCATTATTAGTATAAAAAAAATTAAAAATCCAAGTATCTTTCCCGCCATTTGTAAACACAATAACTTTCACGTAAACCAATTAATTTACACGTATTGGGGGTTTTATTTAGCAAAGATATGTCGCAGAATGCATTTTGGCCGAAATTTATGACGAAATTTGATTTATACATTTTTTTTTACTGGACGTGTTTTATAGCAAAAAGTACAAAATATTGTTTTTTTTCTCAAAATTGTCAGCCTTTTTTTTTATAGCGCAAAAAATAAAAACTGCACAGGCAATCAAATACCACCAAAAGAAAGCTCTATTTGTGTGAAAAAAGGACATAAATTTCATTTATGTACTGTATTGCATGACCGCGCAATTGTCCGTTAAACTAGCGCAGCACTGTGTAGCAAAAAAATGGCGTCAATTGCAGTATCTATACCAGTTTGTAGACGCTATAACTTTCACACAGTCAATATACACTTATTGGGATTTTTTTTACAAAAAACATGTAGCAGAATACATTTTGGCCTAAATTTATAACTAACTTTGAGTTTACTATATATTTTTTATAGCTGAAAGTAAAAAATATAGTTTTTCTTCAAAATTTTCGGTCTTTTTTTTTTTATAGCGTGAAAAATAAAAAGCGCACAAGTGATCAAATACCACCAAAAGAAAGCTCTATTTGTGTGAAAAAAAGGACGTAAATTTCGTTTGGGTGCAGCATTGCATGACCACGCAATTATCAGTTGAATTAGTGCAGCGCCGAGTAGCAAAAAGAGGCCTGGTCATTAAGGGGGGTAAATCCTCAGGAGGGCAAGTGGTTAAAATGGAAACCAGAATCTCGTCGGGGTTACACTCTGAATAGGATTTTACACAACATTCTTTGATATAAAATCGATATAAATTCGCTATAAAATCATGATTGGATTGTACAGGGTACAAAGGTCATATGAGATAAAGCACATAAGCTCACTGCTATTGACCTGGACAACAACCCAGCTGCCTATCTTCTCCAGTACTCATTCACATAGGGGGGCCAAGATCTGGGGGCCCTCTTCCTAAAGGTGGCTTTCAGATTCCAATAAGCTACCTTCATACCCCCTCAATTACCAGGCCAGGGTTGTGGGGAAAAGGCAAAGAGTCCCTTATACTTGTCAACATGGGGACAAGGTGCTTTGCCAGGGGGTCTCTTCCAGAGTTCTCCCACTATGTTGAGGGCATGTGGTTTGATATGGTTCAGAAGGGGGCCACTCCCTTACCCCTCCACTTTCTTGGCCTGCCGGGCTGCATGCTCAGATAAGGGGTCTGGTATGGATTTTAGGGGGACCCAACACATTTTTTCTTGGTTTTTTTTGCGTGGGGTCCCCCACAACAGGGATGACTCATCTTTGTTAGGAATTGTGGGTGCCGGCTCCTTAACAACCAGTGACTCATCCCTGCTGGCTGACATGTTTCCAAATCGCATCAAAACTCACACTGCAGCTGCACTACAAAATCATGTTTGTTAAGCATCAGTAATTTGAACATCCCTTGTGATAGCATAGGCAGTGACAGGTTCTCTGTACTGAGACATCTGGGGTCTATTAGACCCCAGATCTCTCCTCTGCCCTTAAATCAACTGAGCAAACCAAGATCAGTTTGATCAGCTGTTTTCAGCATTTTTACATCTGAGCGAAACCACAAGTGACAAATTCCTTGTCACTTCTGGTTTCTTAGACCACAGAGAAAATAAGGGAAGTTCTGATCATTGGTCATCTCTATGGTAAGTCATCGGAATTTGGTCTCTACAAAGGTACAGTCCCTCTAAATGTAGGGCAGTTGGGAGCTATAGGTCATGTGATCAGGAAGTCCATCCTATCCCCCTCCCCCCCCATCTTAAGACCCAGTTAAAGAGCAGTGGCAGGCAGGAAGGGGTTGAAGTAATTTGTATTTGATTTATATTTTATTTTAATTTCATCCCTTTAATATCTATGAAAGAAACATATGCTATGCTAAAAGTAACAAATGTGGCTTGATTAAAAGGAACGTAGAGATTTTCACCAATTTAAACTGGCCTACTTAAGTATTATTTAGGTGTCCTTATAATTAAGTTCTTTGGGGAGTATTGACAAAGACTGGCACAGGGAGAAAATGCTCCAATTTCTACATGCACACTTATATAGTGTTTTTGTGTCAACGTAAAAGGATTGTGGAAAAACAATTTGTTCATTTTGTTGCATGACAGTGGTGTGCTGTCCATTCATACATATCCATCTCTCCTCTCCCTCCTGCAATGCCGCTGTTCACTTTTTCCCCTTCAATACAGCATTTATGATTTGATACACGCTATAATGGAATACACATAAAAGTTGTCTAAGCTCATTGCTGTTTTAGCGCATGGAAAAAATGCAAATATTTGCATATTTAATATCACAAATTTCTATTTGGTAATCACCCCTAAGAGTGATTACCCCTTAGTCCTGCTTACGAGCTGTGAACCTGGAAGTGTGGGGTATGTAAAAACAGCTCCCTTGTGGCAACAAAGACTCTGTACAATCCCTGCTTCCTTATATGTGCACTACTCAACAGTGTCATGTCCCTGTGTCCACTGTCTGTGAACCCTCACCGTAATTGTGTAGCCTTTTTTGCTATAAATTGTCATGACCTTCTCTCACATTTGACGTGCATTGGTAATGCCTGCTAATGAGTCCCTGTTTATTGCTATAGTTTTGTTAGTTTTATTGTCTTGGTAGTCTGGGTAGACTTAGGCCCCACTTAAGTGGTATGATGAGGTCGGCCTATCAATTTTTCAGACAAACCTGATCAGAAGCTCTGTAAAGTCTGGGGGCAGTTGGATGTAAATGGACTTTCCAGACCTAAATGTGACAGATCCAAACTTCTATGGACTTCCCAGTTGATTAAGGGGAATCCGGTCGGTACTTTAGAAGAACGAGTCTTGCTCTATGCAGAGGACATGTTGTTATACCTCTCAGATCCTCAAGCCACGGTGCCACAGGTCCTCAATTTCATTCAAGGTTTCGGATTATACTCAGGATTTAAGGTCAACTAAATCTCATATTTTTCCAATAGACTGAAGCCCATCTTTTAGTTTACCAGTGGCTTTCCCACTGCAGACCTCTTCGAAATGTTGATATTTAGGTATTGAAATTCAACTTCCTCTACGTTTTCTGAAACTAACTTGGTACCTTGCATCTCCTCATTTTGTACTAAAGTGGCCCAATGGGTTACATTCCCATTAACCCTTATGGGTAGGGTGAACTTATTCAAGATGGTTTTTCTTCCAAAATTTGTATACATTTTAGTTAACTCACCCACTTTCATTCCTAAGAAAACCTTTCGAGAAATTGATTCTATTCTTATAAATTTTCTTTGGCACCCTTAATCCCCCAGACTGTCCCTGACCACCTTAGAAATGGGGGAGGGGGGCTAGCACTTCCCAACCTTTGCTTATATTACTATGCTGCCCAACTTATTTATGTGCATTGGTGGATTTTTCCACAAGTTAATAATGCAATGACTGCTATGGACGCTGCATTAGTTTCCTCCTACGAGACCCTATCCAATTTGCTATATAGACTCTCATTACATCTGTGGACACCAATTTATTAAGCATGTCCCTTCATATTTACACGCAGTGCTCACAGTTACTGGCTGAACAAGACCATATTTGTTCCCCTAATCAACCATTATGGTACAACCCTAGGCTCCCACATTCTCTTCACTCCAGTGTGGTCTCCTGTGGGCAAGACGTAGAGTATATTATTTACATCAAATGTACGAAGGGGCTCGCTCAAATCTCTAACACGATTATGTCATGAGTTGCACATTCCTGCACGATGGTCATTCAGCCACTGTACATGCGGCAGAGGCCCATTTCGGCTCCAGAATGTTTGCCTTAAGAACTCAAAACTTGGACGAGCCCTCCTGTGTCCTGATCATATCAGACTCATCTCTACTTATTATTCATTACTCATGGATGGCTATGACACCTCTCTCTCTACTGTGCAGAATAAGTGGTTAAGAGATATCCCAGATCTTACCTCCGAAAACTGTCAGGAACTGTTTAATACACACTCTTTTTACTAGGGATAAACGTATTCAGCCACATTACCTACTACTACACCCCGGCTTGGTTGTATAAAATGCACATAAGACCTACTCCTACCTGTCATAAGGGTGATTGTGAAATAGGTGATTTTCTGCACATGGCATGGGGATGTAGCAAGATCCGTCTCAATATTTCAGGGGTCTGGACAGTGTCTATATTTATCTAGTCTGCTATGAGATGCTGGGTTCAAGTAGACTGATGATTTGACACTCATTAGGTCGAGCTCTGAGACGAAACAGGTTTACAAAAGTGTCTACCCCCCCCCCTCAATGTCATGATCTCCAGTTTTTAGACATGAAGGATTATGACTTAATGTTGCTCTTTGTTCTGTTGCAGGGAGGAGCATTTTACTTCATTGAACACGTTAAGGCAGATCCTTCCTCTTGGAACTATTTTTTTTTCAGGAAATCTTGAATCCAACTTGGAAACACATAGGGGATGGATGCCGGCTAACTAAGGAAACATGGAAATATCTGGAAAAATCCAAATTTTCTGATCTCAAACTTAGACATATCCTTGCTCCATTTAAATACAGCCCTGTCAAACCCCACATCATTGGATATGCCCTGAAATAAACTTTTTATTTTTAAGATATGTTTATTGGTTTTGCAAATAAAGACAATACAGAGAAAAAAAAATGTCTCATGTCTCATTACAAAAGGTATTAAAAGACTTACTTTGGGTAAAGAAAGTTAAATTGTTCAAGACATTGGCAAAACAGAGAAACAGCATAAAAGTCTTAGTTTCCTGTATGTGTAGTCATTGGGCTAAAAACCCAACAGTCCTATATTGTATCTTAACTCTTTTTTTTTGTTTGTTTTTAGCTCGTAGGTGAGTTTATAAAGTGGTGGACATTAATTAGTTGCAGCCAAGTGAGAAAGAGGGTCCCCTCCATGTAAGTAGAATGGTATTCTGCACATAATCCACAACAAACATTTAGTATAGTTAAAAATGGCGATATCACTGAATACTCCCAATAGACAATTCTTAACATGTAATATGTTAGGAAGGCCCAGTGCTGCTGATATAAATGTGTTGCTCTCAACCAGAAAGGCATGAACTAGAGGGCAGTTCCAGAAGCAGTGTAGAAAGCTGACTAGGGCTACACAGCACCTAAAACACTTGTTGGGTGAAGGCCCATTTTATGTAACCTGGATGATGTAAGATGGCTGTGGTTTGAATACCTTCAATTTGATAATCCTATCATTAGAGGAGATTATTGAATTCTCATTAGTTTTCTCAAATTCTGACCAGTCAGAATCCATGCGTTTGAGGGCCGGTAGGGAGTCTAGGGATCACTTATGCTGGGCTGCCAAATATCTAGTTTTAGAATTGGCAGTGAGTGCAGAGTAATACATTGATAGTAATCAAGTTTCAGCTGGATTCCTTAATAGTTTTTCTAGGGTAGAAATTAGAGTTTTTTTAAAGACCTAAATTGGGCCTGGATGGCATGTCAGAGCTGGTAATAATAGAACAGAAATGTGTACGGGAGGTTAAAGTCCTCTTGTAGTTTTAAACCCCAGTATATAAGTAGTTTGGGTATTTAATTCCTTGGAAAGGACATCTCCAAGTATTGGGGATGGAAAGTAATCCAGGAAAGGAAGAAATAAGCCATAAAGGGTTATTAGGGAGGATGGCCAGAAGTCAGGTGAGCAGGCTTTTTGTATCCAGAGAAAGATAGAGAGGGAGGTGGCCAGCATTGTGTTTCCAGCCATTGGGAGTACTTGGCACCTGTATATAATATTATGCAGAGATTTAAAAGAGGACACTGTGGTAGCTTCAGTAGTTGTACATGCATTAGCTTGGGATGGATGAAACCAATCATGGATGTAAACCAGTTGGGAGGCTAGGTAGTAGACATAAAAGTCAGGGAAGACCAAGTCCGCTAACATAATGGGTAATTTTAAGGTTATCCAAGGCAATTCAGAAAAGTGGAGCATATGACATCAAGTTGTTTAAAAAATAGCACTGGGATTTTGCAAATGGAATTGGCAAAAATATAAAGCAGTTTAGGTAGGAAAATCATTTTTATTATTGTTAACTCTACCCATAAGATCCAGTGGTAGATTCATCCACTGCTTGGGCTTTTGCTGCAGCTGGGAGATCAGGGGGCATACATTATTTTTTATTTATTTTAGGTACTTGTATAGCACTGTCAATTTACGCAGCGCTTTACATATATATTGTACATTCACATCAGTCCCTAACCCTCAAGGGGTGTACAATCTAAAGTCCCTAACTTACATTCATACATACACATACTAGGGCCAATTTAGACCGGATCCAATTAACCTACCAGCATGTCTTTGGAATGTGGGAGGAAACTGGAGTACACAGGCACAAGGAGAACATGCAAACTCCAGGCAGGTGGTGCCATGGCTGGGATTCGAACCAATGACCCTAGTACTGCCAGGCAGAAGTGATAACCATTTAGCAACTGGGCTGCCCGTTATTATTTGATATATAAGTATGTAAGGGTAATTGTATTAATTCCAAGATATTTAGAGGGAAATTTTGTCTTTATTTGGTTTTGTAATAAATCAAACAATACATAGTGAAAAAGAGAGAATTATGAGGACATCAACAGTGGCAAGGGTGAATAGGAACATTCAAAAAGGGATTAGTGTAGTCTATGGACGCGGGAGATATGGATCTTATTCATAGCAGGGGAATCCCCCAACATACGATGTTCAAAGATGATACAGTAATTCCTTAGCAACTAAATGAGAAACCCTTGTAGAAAGTAATGGAAACGCTCAAGCGAGCGAGGGGCAGGGGGAACGAGAAATAGGGCAGGAGGAAAAGAGAGAAGAAAATTAAGAATGAGAAAGAGGCGCAGAGAAGAGACGGGGGGGGGGGGGGGAGAGAGGGGGGGGAAGTAAAAAAAAGGGGTGGAGAGAGGAGAAGATCCTGGGTGGGGAGGTTGGCCGGAGCAGGCCTGTTAGGAGATCCGGCGCTGGTATTTCACCGGGGTGGTCCCCTTGGTCACCCCCTAAGGGTGTGTCTGATAGTCAACTCGGGGTGTGTGCCTGGGGACGTTGAGTATGACTCCATCAAGTTCCATCAGGGGCGCATAGATTTCGCAGGCGTGAGGATGAGAAGTGGAGCCAGATCGACCACAACGACTTGTGTTTATCGAAAGTGTCGTTGTTGAATGCCAACATTTCCTCCATGCACATGGTATCGTTTAGCACCGAGACCCACAAGGGGAGGGGCGGGGGGGGGGGTCGACGAAGAGGGGTATCAATTGGCGGGCCGCGGATAGGAAGAAGCGCAGCAAGCTTTTCTTCTGAGAGGCTAAAGAGCCTGGAAGGATCAAGAGGAGGGCAATTTCCGGTGTGGGAGTCAGAGATTCACCGTAAATCTCGTTGTATATGGCAAAGATCTGTCACCAGTAAGGTTGTATTAGGTCACATTCCCACCAGATGTGGAGCTGGGTACTGACCACTTTAGAATAGCACCAGCACATGTTCGGTGTGGAGGTGAATATTTTATGTAGAGAGAGGGGTCCCTGTACCATCGAGCGAGGATCTTGAAGTTCTTCTCTTGTGAATAACATGAATGGGTGAAGTGAAATGACTTGGACCAGTCTGCGTCCGATATGTCTCTGCCGAGTTCTCGGGCCCACACCCTGGTGTAGGGTGGGGGTTCGGGGTGGAGAGTGTCGTGAACAGATTTAAATAGAGTGGCTAGGACATGTCTAGGCACACTGGGGAGAGAGCATAGTAGCTCAAACTCAGTGAGTGGTCGGTGAATGTCAGGGCAAGAGTGTAGGTGGTTGCAGAATGTAGATAGATGCAGAGTCATCAATAAATCCCGGGATCCACCCCGGAAGAGCGGAGACCTGATTGGGGGCAGATGAAGTCACGTGCGATGGGCCAAGAGGTGCATGTGAAGGGGCCGATGGCCGCAGCGCCTACACTCTGGGGTAGGGCCGGGTGATAGAGGGTAAGGATCGGATGACACTAGGGCGACCACGCCCGTCTGTACCACAAACACAGAGAGGCCGAGGTCAGCGGAGATAGGCCAGAGAGACACCGGTGTTCTTGGTTGTAGCCCCACAGGAGGGCTTGGAGGTCAACCAGGGAGAGATCCTGTTCAACCATGCAGGAGGCCTTGAGTAATGGCCTGGGGAACCAGTCTAGGATTCGGGCCGTCAATGTAGCTTTGTGGTACAGCTCAAAGTCCGGTAGACCTACGCCGCCCTTGGACTTCGGGTATGTGAGTCCTCTGTGTTTTAGCCTTGAGAGGCCTTGGCGCCAGACAAATCTGATGGACAGGGAGCGTAGGGCGAGAAAGAAACTCTTAGGGACGGTGATTGGTACGGTCTGGAAGACATATAGTAATTTTGGTAGGGTGTCCATTTTGAGGGTGTTGATGCGGCTGAACCAGGGGAGGGCCGAGGTGCCCCAGGACGCCAAGTCTTTTCGGATACTAGAGAGGAGGGGTAGGTAATTGAGAGAGTACAAAGCGGTGAGGTTCGCGGGAATCATAATCCCCAGGTATTTAATGGCCAAAGGGCGCCACAGAAAGGTGACGCTGGAGCGAACGTTCGACAGCACATGTGCGGGTAGAGATATGTTTAGGGCCTCGGTTTTAGAGATGTTGAATTTGAAGTTACTGAAGAGGCCGAATCTATGGAACTCATGGAAAAGACAGGGGAGTGATATGTGTGGTTGTTGGACACAGACTAGGAGGTCATCCGTGTTTAAGGATATTTTATGGTGCGCGGAGGGGGTGCGAATGCCTGTGATTGAGTCGTTCGCTCGAATGGCTCTCGCGAGGTGTTCCATTATCAGTACGAAGAGAAGGGGCGAGAGTGGACAGCCTTGTCTAGTTTCATTTGAGATAGGGAAGGGTGGGGAAGTAGTGCCGTTGACCCAAACCGTTGCTGAGGGGTGGGAGTAAAGAGACATGATCCATGCTAGGCACCGAGAGCCCACGCCTATCTGTTCCAAGGTAAGGCGTAGGCAACGCCAGTCCATGCGGTCGAACGCCTTCTCAGCGTCAAATGACAGAAGGCATGCCTTTAAGCTGTGACGTTTGATGTAAGATATGAGGTGGATAGTTTTGGAGGTGTTATCTCTGGCCTCTCGGCCTGGGACAAACCCCACCTGATCGCAGTGAAGTAGAGTGGGAAGGAAAGGTGACAAGCGGTTAGCAAAAAGCTTTGCGAACAGCTTAGCGTCTAGGTTGAGAAGGGAGATAGGATGATAGCTACCGCAGAGGGATGGGTCTTTATTTGGTTTCGGGATGACCGAGATGTTGGCCGACAGAAAGGCCGAGGAGGGTACATTCTGATCGTCGATGGCGTTGAAGGCTTGGGATAGAAGTGGAGCTAGGGGGGGGCGGAAAACGTTTTGTAGAAGCGGGGGGGGTGAACCTGTCCGGGCCCAGGCATTTACCAGATTTCAAGGCCTGGATCGCTCCAAGGACTTCCATAATCGAGAAGGGCTCTTCCAGGGCAAGGATGTCCTGTGTGTCCAGGACCGGCAATGCCGTCTTCTCGATATATTGGGCCATGTCTGAAGTGGAGAAGGCGGGGGGGTAGCTGGCTGCGCCAGGTAAAGGTTGT